TGGAAGTGAGGCTGACCGGTCTATAGTCATATGCTCCAGCAGTGTAGGAGCGATCTGCCAGGCTGGAGCTGTTCACATCCCACCAGAATGATGTGGCCAGAAAAGCCTAAAATGCTGCCATGCTTGAAATGGTGCACAAAAAATCTGCGAGGCAGCTGAGCCTTTTGGAAAGGAGAAGCTGAAGCAAGCATGCCGTGCCCAGGCCAAGGGTGCTGGGGCTGCACCCGGGCTGCCAAACACCCGCCCGCCTCTGACGAAGCACAGGAGAAACAGTTTGAGTTACTCGGGGCAGCTCCTGCGTGCCCAAGGGGGGATGTCATAGAATTGTTTAGGTTGGAGAAGACCCTCAAGAGCGAGTCCAGCCATTAACCCCACACTGCCCAGCCCAGCACTGAACCCTGTCCCCAAGTGCCACATCGACACGTCTTTTAAATCCCTCCGGGGATGGTGACTCCACCACGTCCCTGGGCAGCCTCTTCCAGGGCTTGACAACCCTTTTGGGGAAGAATTTTTTTCCTCATATCCAATCTAAACCTCGCCTGGAGCAACTTGAGGCCGTTCCCTCTTTTTCTAGCACTTGTTACTTGGGAGAAGAGACTCACCCCCACCTTGCCACAACCTCCTTTCAGGCAGGTGTAGATAAGGACAGAGGGACAAGCACTGCCCTGATCCTGCTGGCCACACCATCGCTGATACAAGCCAGGGCACCGTTGGCCTTGGCCACCCCTTGGTTGGAGTTACAGGAGGAGCAGAGGGGAGCAGATGGGATGGGCAGGGCTAACAGCTGCCTGTGGGCAGATCTGCTAAAAATCCCATGGCGGCTGTGCTGGGAAAACGCCTCTTGCCTCCAGCCTTTGCACTGGCACGGACCCACAAGGCTGGTTTGTGTTTTCTAACTCGGTCTCCAGGCAGCCGGGGGATTTTCCTCACTCTCCTGCTCTCAGAGCCCAGTGGCTCCTGGCTACAGAACTTTTTCCCAGCCAGCTCTGCAGGGGTGACTCAGATTTATCCTGCTGGGGTAGATACAGCTTCAAAATAAGCAATTTAAGTCAAAGGGAAAGTAATGACATAGTCCAGGCAGTAATTAGTACTGATGAAGCAATAGCAAAGCTGACACAAAGGTCCCATCCCACTGCAGCCCTGCAAGGCAGGACTTGGGGGTGCTGGGGGGTGAGGAGCGGGACATGGCCCGGCAACGTGCACTGGAGCCCAGAAACCCCCCGTGTCCTGGGGCATCCCCAGCAGCGTGAGGGAGGGGATTGTCCCCCTCTGCTCTGCTCTGGTGAGACCCCCCCTGCAGTGCTGCCCCCAGCTCTGGGGTCCTCAGCACAGGACAGACACGGAGCTGCTGGAGCGGGGCCAGAGGAGCCACGGAGAT